CCTATCCCCTCTTCTCTTTCCCCTCTATACTATTTCACTTGGTGATCTCATCAGCTCTCAGGGATTCAATTATCATCGCTATACTGGTAATTTTCTTTTTTTATATTTTTTTTATTTTACACTTAATTACAAAATGAGAAAAGAACATTGCCAGGTACACAGCAGACCATAAGAGAGGATTCAATATAAAACAATAAATTTCCATTTCAAGAAAACCTATATAATAAATACTACACATTGTTTTCAAAGCTGCCCAGCTTTTCCTTCTTTGCTGGTTTTCTTTTGTTCTCTGCTGTGCACATTTTACTTTATTTCCCCACCACCACCCTAAAGAAGGCTACAATTAACCATGGATAGATGGAAGGATGGGTGGATGAATAGATAGATAGACAGATAGATATACATAAACATATATATCTATAAATATACATATACATATATGTGTATATATATATATACACACATATACTCATACACATTTATGTAAGACCATACTATGCTTATTTCCTCCTATTGTCTGTTTCTCTGAAGGTGGATAGCATCTTCCTTCATAAGTCCAAATCTTTCCATGTTTTTCTAAATCAACCTGCACATTATTTCCTACACCAGTGCAATATTCCCTTCTAGATTCAAACAGCATCTTCCTTCATAGGATCTTTGAGATGGATGTGAGTAATACTCAGAATGACTTGGTTGCCCAAAGTTATTCTTAAAACAATACTGTTGTTACTGTATAGAATGTTCTCTTGGTTCTGCTCATTTTGCTCTTCATTATTTCGTGGAGCTCTCTCCATGCTTTTCTAAAATCATTGAGCTCATCATTTCTTATAGCAGAGTAATATCCCATCATAAACATATACCACAATTTGTTTAGCCATTCCCCAGCTGACAGGCATCCCTGCAATTTCCAGTTCTTTGCAACTACAAAGAGAGCTGCTATAAATATTTTAGACCATGTAGGTTCTTTTCCATTTTCCCTAATCCTCTTGAGAAACAGACCTAATAGTGGTATTGCTGGGTCAAAGGGTGTGGGCAGTTTAATAACTCTTTGGGCATAATTCCAAATCTCTCTCCAAAAGGGTTGGATCAGCTCACAGATCCACTAAAGATGAATTAAGGTCTCAATTTTTCCACATCTCTTCCAACATTTGTCGCTTTCCCCTTCTCTTATGCTCATAATTTTCGAATCTATCTATCCAACCTTAACCTCTCCGATGACCTCCAGTCTCTCTTCTCCAACAGCTTAATGGGCATCTCAAACTATATTAAACTGAACATGTTCAAAACTGAATGTATTATTTTCCCCAAAAACTGTCCCCTTTTCTTAACTTCCATATTACTGTTGAGGGTACATCCTTCTAGTACCCCAGGTTCCCATCCTAGGTCTCAATGTCTCACATCCCCAATATCCAATCTCTTGCCAAAGGCAATCAGTTTTTCCTTAGTAGCATCTCTCGTATAGGCCCCTTCCTCTCCTCTGACATTGTGATCACCCAGGAGCAGGCCTTCATTATGTCACACATGGACTGTTGCAGTACCTTGCTAGTCAATTTCTCCCCATGACAGTCCATCTTCCACTTCCTAAAATGCAGGTCTAACCATATCGCCCTCCTACTCAACAAATTCCAGTAGCTCTTATTACCTCCAGGATGAAACAAAAATTCTCTGTTTGGCATTCAAATTCCTTCATGATCTGGCCTCTTCCTGCCTTTCCAGTCTCCTAACACTTTACTCCTCTCTAGACACTCTGGGATCCAGTGATATTCACCTCCTGGTTCTTCCTCAAATGAGATGCCCCATCTCCTGACACCATGAATTTTCACTGTCATGCCCCACATGCCTGGAGTCCTCTCCCTCCTGATCTCTCCCTCCTGTATTTTCTGACTTCCTTCTAGTCCTGGCTAAAATCCCAACTTTGACAAGAAAGCCTTTGTCAATCCCCTTTAATGCTAGTGCCTTCCCTCCACTGATTATTTCCAATTTATACTGTTTATATCTTGTTTGTGCATAGGTGTTTGTATATCTCTCCCATTAGACTGTAAGCTCCTTGAGAGGAGGGATTATGCAGTGCTGAACATAGTACTTGACACACTGTAGGCACTTAATAAATCTTTATGGATTGATTTATTCATCTGCCTCTCTCGGTTTCTGTATCTTCATTTTTGTTATAGAAAAAGTCAAATTCCCACCTACTTATTCACTAGGAGGGTCTGTGAAAGCCTTCCCTGCTGCCTACAAACAGGTCCAGATCTCCCCTTCCTTAAAAAAAAAAAAAAACTTTCTCTAGACCCTACCTTCCCTTCAAACTATCACCCTATAGCTTCCTCCCTTTGCAAACTCCTAGAAAATGCTATCTACACTCACTGCCCCCACTTCCTCTCCCTTCACTCATTCCTCAGCTCTTGCAGCCTGACTTCCAACCTCATAAATTCAGTGCTTACTGTTATCAATGATCTCTTAATTGCCAGATCTAGTGTTCTTTTTTTCCCCCAGTTTAATCCTTCTCACCCTCTCTGCTACATTTAACACTTTTAACCACCCTCTCTTCATGAGTACTCTCTCCTTTCTGGCTTTAATGACACATCTTTCTCCTGTTTCCCCTCCTACCTGGATTATCACTCCTCTTCTGCCTCCATTGCTGGTCCATAACACATTCCCTAACTGCCAGTGTTCACCAAAGCTTTGTCCTAGAATCCTCTCTCTCTCTCCCCCTCTCTCTCTCTCCCTCTCTCTCTCTCTCTCTCTCTCTCTCTCTCACACACACACACACACACACCTCACTAGGTCTCATGGGTTTAATTATAATCACCTATTAGATATCTCAAGCTACATGTCTTGGAAACATCTCAAACAAAACACGTATTTTTTTAAACTTCCCTATTTTTGTCAAAGACACCATCATCCTTCCAGTCATCTAGATTCAAAACCTGTCGTTACCCTCAGTTCCCCACATATCTAATCAGTCATCAAATCTTGCCATTTCTACCTCCACGATATTCCTTGTCTTTGACCCTTCTTTTTGTTCATCCAACTACTACCTTAATTTAGACCCTCATACCTCTTGTCTAGATTTTTGCAATGACTTCCCAATTGGTGTTTCTACTTCAAATCTCTCTCCACTCCAGCCCATCCTCCACACTACCGTCAAAGCGATTTTCCTTAAGTATAACACCACGTTACTCCCCCACACAATAAACTCCAGTGGCTCTCTGTGACTTCTAAGATAAGTCGTAAACTCTTCTGTTTGGCTTTTAAAGGCCTTCACAACCTGTACACAACCCAGCCAGCCAGCCCCGCTAGACATTCCTCCTCCTCCTCCTCCACTCTGTAACCCAGTCAAACTGACGTTTTCTCAATTCTTCACATTCATTTCCCATCTCTGTTCCTCTGGAATGGCTGTGTTTCAGGCCTGGAATGTGCCCCCTTGTCACCTCCATCATAAAGAATTCCTCTATTTCTCCCTTCGTGATTCAATCTCAACACCACCTTCTACACAAAGCTTTTCTTGATCCCCTCAAATGCTAATGCCCTCCCTCATTACTTTGTATTTACTGACTTTGTGTTTATTTTATATTTGTTAAATATATATATATATGCATATTCATTCTAGATATATTTAAATATGTACATGTATCTACTGATATGTATGTATTGTCTCTCCTATTAGAATGTAAACCTCTTGAGTATAAAGATTGTTCCCTTCTTAGGGATTTATTTACCTCTTGCCTATTGTCAGGTCTGGCACATAGTAGATACTTAATAATGCTTATTGATTGATTGATTGATATAGAGTCTGGAGAGACTCAGATTTAAAATCCAACAATGTAACTCTGAACAAGTCACTTTCCTTTTCTGAGATTCAGTATCCTCAAGGACAGGACTGGTAAGTGGTGCAGTGGATAGAGTATAAGACCTGGAGTCAGGAAGGCTCATCTTTGTGAGCTCAAATCTGGTCTCAGACACTTCCCAGCTGCATGACCTTGTGCACTTAACTTTGTTTGCCTCAGTTTCCTCATTTATAAAATGAAATGGAGAAGAAAATGGCAAACCACTCTAGTATCTTTGCCAAGAAAATCCCAAATGGGGTCCCGAAGGGTTGAACACAACTAAACAACAAGGACAATAATTTTTACCACCTACCATACAAGACATAATTTTGTAACTCTAAAATCCACAGTACATTAATTGGAACTATTATCAAAATTGGTATCAAAAATGTCTTTTAAATATTTGGAAATGGAGGGAAGGAAGGATGTGAATCCCATCATCAAGTACTAATCTGTTTATCCTTGCCCAGCACACCCTACTAAGCCAGAGAGGGAAGATGATAAATACATAAATACTTTGTGATGACCAGACACAATTCCAGGGATCGGTAATGATGCCCATCGCCTGACGAAACACAGGTTGAGATAATATTTTTGGAAGTGACCAATGTGGGAAGTGATTTTGCTTGAGTAGGCATATTTGTTACAAGTGTTTGGTTTTCTTTTGCTTTTTCCTAGTGCAGGGGGAAAAATATTTAATTTAGTGTTAGTTTAATTAAAAGGATATCTTATACCTCTTTTTGTTTCCCCAACTCTTAGCACAGTGCCTGGCACATAGTAGGCTTAATAAATGTTTATTGATTGATTAATACAGTGTTAATGTTAATTGAAAAGATTAAAAAACAAAAATTTTAAAGATGAACAAACAATAGTTGGTGTCCTTCTCTTTGAGCTCAAGTGCTGGTGAAATAAGAGTTCTCTGGGATAGAATCAGTACTCGTTTCAATAGCAGCTTCTAGGTGGCCCCAAGTCTTCGGCTTTGGCTTCCTACTAAAAATCTCCAGTGTGGACAATAGCTTCTCCTGGACTCATTTAGCACAGATTCCCTCAGTTTTCCAAAATGATTGTCTTCAGAGCTCAAGCGCAAATGTCTGTTACTCACCGACTTTCTTCCTGACTTTATTTTTCAAATAAATATAGGGGCTGAGAGATAATTAAAAATAATGAGACTGTATGGGCCAGAGCCTTCCATGCAATGAGAGGGTGTGGGCGTTAATTGAAGGAGAGACTTCTCGCCCTTTTTGCTTCAAGTTCATTGGTGGACTGGTACTTTAAATACAGGTTTCTATTCTCCCCCTGAAAGAGACAAAGAGAGACAGAGACCCAGATGATCTGAAAACCTTTTAATTCTTCTTTTTCTTAGAAGTCTCCTGACTGGTATCTCCAGGCTCTGGGAACAAGGCACAAGCCAGCAGTGAAGGTAAAATGGGTTTTGTCAGTTTCCAAGTGTGTGCGGGGTTGCGGCTTCTGCTGCCTTGGGATGATTTTTATAAAGGGGAATTATGATCGTTGTATGAGGAATCCAAGAATATTTACTATTATCAACTGTGAGCTTGATTACCATTCCACCAGGACAGCAAGGCAAAATCTGGCATGAGCCTATTGGTGACAGCCTCTCCTTAAGAATATTATTAGAAAACAGTTCTCTCACCGATCTAGCTCTTTATGGACTCTTAGGATCGGAAAGCTAGAGCGGGAAGAAACTTAGAGACCATCTCATCCAAACTTTCCATTTTACAGATGAGGAGGCTGAGGCACAGCTGGAAGTAAGCAGGGGGTGGGGTGGGGTGGGGCTCGAGAGAGACAGTAAGTGCCAGGGTCACACAGCTTCGAAGTTTCTAAGGCAGGTTTTGAACCCTGACTTTTGGTCTGTCACCATTTACTTTATACCATGCTGCTTTTTGCAAAAACCTTTCCCAGCCCTTTTTATCTCAGTGGTCTTTCCTCTGAGATTATCCTCAATTTACACAGTAGACGATGTCACAAAAGTCTCAAGGAGGTTTTTTTGGCTTTATACCTAAAATGACGTAACCTTAAAACCACTCTAAGGTTGACAGAAGAGACAGATGTTTGCTTCTCTTTATACCTCTAGTTGCTTAGCACGGTGCCTGGCAGATAGTAAGTGCTTACCAAATGGCGTTTAGGGTTAGGGTTAGGGTTAGGGACTCTCACAACACTATGGAAGTTATCCTTAGTCTTTAAAGTTAATGTCTTCCTAGCCTGTTGAACTGACAGTACAAAGTCAAGGAGGTCGTTTGAGAAAAAGGAGACCCTCTTCTTTGGTAGGATTTTTCACCGAAGTGAACGTGAACAAAATGTTTCATTTCCCCCGCTCAGAAAGTGATGTTTTCTAGACCTACCAAATGCAACACAAATTTTGTCTTATATCTTTGTGCAAGTATTGCATTGTTATGTCTATAATTCACTTACATTTTATAATTTGTTTCCCTGTTATGTGGGGGTGCCTCTTGCAAGCGAGATGCTTAGTGGACCATTGCTACTTTTTTGTGGACGGCATTAACCAAACCATCACACACTGCACCAAGACATACTTTGTACCAAATGCAACCTACACGAGGGGTGACCAAAGAGGTTGATACTGTTAGATTACTGGCTTGATTTATTTGGGCTTTATACAAATAGTTCAACAATTTGGACCAAATTAATCTGCTCATTCCATTTTTTTCAAAATCAAATTCATCATTTAGGCATCAAGACTGAATTGTTCATATTTCAACTGGTTACTTTGTCAGAATGTAAATACAATCCTGAGTAAGCTGATTTTTAATGAAACTGACTGCAATCTCCCAATCCAACTCTCTTGCAGAAATCACTTTTTAAAATGAAGGACTTGCTACTGATTCTGTGCCTTTTGGGAACAAGTTTCGCAGTGCCAATAAAACAGGTAAGCTCTTCTCCAAATCCCTGCACTTTCTTAGTAGATGAATGTCAAAAATCCCTGCACTGACCTCTCTGAATTAACACTCAATAATAATTCTGTGCCACTGAATTCTCTTATTTTTTCTTGTTCTCAAATTTCATTTGTTCAACTAAAATAATTTTAACTTCAAGCAAAACAATTCTAGGATGAGGAGAAAAACTACAAAAAAATAGCACTTGTATGATCTCTCTCTCTCTCTCTCTCTCTCTATATATATATATATATATATATATATATAAATTCCTTATATCAATTGACCAGCATTTATTAATTTATTAAGCACCTACTACATACCAGGAACTGTGCTAGGTGCTGTGCATGAAAATACAAAGAAGCAGTCAATCCTTAATCCCAAGGAGTTTACAATCAAACAAGGGAGACAAGACCATGTATAAATGCATACGGAATGAATGTGAAGGGAATAAACACAAAAGATTTTGGTCCAAAATAGATCGGGAGGGAGGGCACTTGGAGCTGGAAGAAGAGGATAAGGGAAGGCTCCAAGAACTCTCATCTTCATCAGCCTCCTTTTGTCTGCTATCTAATTCATCTCAGATGGCCCCAGCGACAGCTCTTCATTCTTCAGTCACAAAGGTTGAATCTAATGACCTTCGTCTCATTGCAGGTATTTCCTCAGCAAGCTGCAGCAACCGGACTGGGGAGCTTAAGCCTTGAGGTAGGTATTTTCAGCATTTGCATTGCATTTAAACTGTTCTGTTTCTTAGGTGAGAAACACGGTGACAATCCACTAGATGTTCTTAACCCAAACCTGGAGTGGCAATTGGTCAGCTCCCATAGAATTACGGTCAACAGATGGGGCTATTGCATCAAAGCTGTCTCTCGATGTGTTTGTTCTTGCCTCCTGCATAGCCTGAGAGGAAATGAAGGAGCTTTCTGAGAGCTCTCTCTGCTAGTCCCCATATGCTACAGCCTGAAACTGTGGACAGAACTCACCGATTTATTCTTTCAGACACCAGTGAACCAAAGTGTTCTCATAACTGAACTGCAAAGTTAGCCCTGCCCAGAGTTTCATAGAGTTACACCTAGAAGGAAGTCCAGAGGCATCTAGAGGAAACCTCACAGTTTTTCAGTTGAGGAAATCAAAGAAGGGTGAAGTGACTTACCTATAATCAAACAGGTAGGAAGTTACGGGGCGAGGGCTTGATCTGGATCCCTCTGCTTCCAAACCAAAGGCCTCCCTTCTGTACTGAGCTGCCTCTCACATGCATCATGGCCCAAAAAGGGGAGAGCCAGAGACAGAGAGAGAGAGACAGAAACAGAGAGACAGACAGAGACAGAGATAGAGACATAGTGAGAGACAGAGAGAGAAGAGAGAGAGAGAGAAGGAGAGAACAGAACAGAACAGAAGAGGAGAGGAGAGAAGGAGAGAGAGAGGAGAAAGGAGAGACAAAGAGGAGAGAGTAAGACAGAGATAGAGAAAGAAGGAAGAGGAGAGAGAGAAAGAGATGAGAAGAAGAGAGAGACAGAAGAAAGAGAAAGGAGAAACAGAAAGAAAGGAGAGACAGAGACAGAGAGGAGAGAGACAGAGGAGAGACTGAAAGGAGAAACAGAGAGAAAGAGAAAGAGGAGAGACAGAAGAAGAGAGAGAGAAACAGAAAAAGAAGAGGAGAGAGATCGTACTTTGTTCTCTACCACATCTTACATCTTTTTTAAACGGCTCGGAACAAAACTAGTTTTCATAAAATTCACTGTCTCTAAAAACTCTCATACGTAGCATGAAAACTATATTGTAAGAGCAGCTTACATCCTGTGGTGTTCTGGTGGAGGTCTTCCCACTTTAAGATGGTTTGAGTTTGTGGAATATGGGCTTAGTAGAATATTTGACACAATGTGTTTTAAGGAGATAAAGACTAGACCTAGCATAGGGATCTCAGCAGTGAAGAAACTCTCTCTACCAAAGCAGTTGGTTGGTACCTTCTCCGAAATTTCCAGTCCAAGAGTGATGGCAGAATGCTGAGAGGTTAAAAGACCAGACCAGGATCACACAACCAGTATATATCAGAGACAGGTCTTGAACCCAGAGCTTCCTGGCTTTGAGGTCAGTTCTCTATCAACTAAGCCACACTGCCTGTTTGACTCTGGGTAGGTCACAACCTCTGTGTGCTTCAGTTTCCTGTAAAATGGAGATAAAAATAGTAGCACCTCTCTCCCAGGATATTTGTGGAGAGTAGAATAACATGTAAAATACTTTGCAAACCCTGAAGCACTAGGTAAATGTTAGCTCCCTGGTGGCTATCTCCTGTATATCCTGTATTTAGCCTGTTATACATAATTGTATCCCTATCGTCTCCCCTGTTGGACTGTGAGTGAGCTCTTTAAGAAACTAGCTTCTGCCTTTCTCTTTCACAGTGGCTGACACATAGTAAGCACTTTATCAATGCCTGTTGACTAACTAAATTTATTATTAACACTATTGTCATAAATATCTTATTATAATGTCTAAGTATAAGAGAATTGTTTTAAATCTAGAATAATTTTGATTGTAATATTTATAAATAATAATCTTGGTTCATAAAATACTTGGGTAGAGAACTGTGTGAATCTACTTAGTTAGAGACCAAGTTAGTGCCTTTTTTGAAGCAAAAACAGCCTAATGTCATTTATTTCTAATGGTTTTTTTTATCTTCAAGCTGATTTTCAGCATGTCAGAGGACATGTAACTTTTTTTTTTTAATTATCTGGGGAAGCATAAATATATAAAATTTCCCCAAGTGAATGTATTTCCACTTAAAATATTTTAATGTATTTAATGTATTTCCACTTAAAATATTGAATGTATTTCCACTTAAAATATTTTTAATGTATGTAATATATTTCCACTTAAAATAATGTATTTCCACTTAAAATATTTTAATTTACTTCCACTAAAATATGTTTTGCCCCTCCACTAAACAATAGAAGTTTGCATAAGTTCTATAAATAAGAACTGAACTACTGACCATCACAAAGCTTTTGCCTTAGATCCATTTTCGGTCCTTATTAAGCAGACCACGTTCATGATGAGTATATGCAGAGAACCAGAAAACATAGCAGACAGATTCTAACTCTTATTCTTCTTAATAGACAATGAGACAGTTGGGGAACCTGAATGGACTGAACCTGCTTTCTCAGGTAACTGTTTTCAAATGTTCCCTCTTATTCTTAACTGTGGCGGTAGTACAGTTGCTGTTAATAGAAATGCCCTAAATGTTGCAGATACAAATGAGCAGAGAATCACCTAAATACAGAAAAAAAAGAAAAAAGTCAGAGGAGTCTTCTCTCCTATCCTCTCTCTTCTATCCTTAGCTAAAACAAACAGGGATTTAAAAACTAGATCTTGGCCAAACTTAGGGGAATTTCACCGTCGAGCAGATACTTGGTAAGCTATTTGAACAGTTATTGAAAATAATACTCTAGGGGCAGCTAGGTGGCGCAGTGGAGAGCACAGGCCCTGAAGTCAGGAGGACCTGAGTTCAAATCCGGCCTCAGACCAAACACTTGACACTTATTAGCTGCGTGACCCCAGGCAAGTCACTTAACCCCAATTGCTTAAAAAAAGAAAAAAAAAAAGAAAAGAATACTCTAGCTGAGAAACGATAATGACCAATCTTAGTCCCAGAGAAGAATAGAAGAAGCACCTGCCCTGGAGGACTATGGGTACAGAAAGTCATATGTGGTGTAAGGTCAAATATTGTGTCCATTTGGTTTTGCTTAATTATTTTTCTTTGTTGCAAGAGAAGTCTAATTGAGAGGGCTTAGGGCTTAGGTGGTATACCTGGAGATGACTGTGTTGTAAAGCCAAAAATTATTAGTAAACTTTTTTTAAAGAAATGAGATAACTATCTAACAACTGATTTTGAACATAAATGTGGCCCAGGCCTGTTTTATTTTAAGTGTAGAAACATCTTCCATTGACACAAATCACAGTAGCTTGTAACTTATAATCAGAGTTGCCTGGGACCCAAATAGATAAATAGGTCCAATAAAATAACAAATGTAAAGTGCTTTGCAAACTATAAGGTGCTGTATAAATGCTGGTTATTCCATGCTGCCTCTAATAAAGGGATACATAAATGTTGATATTTAAATAGTTAAATTTTAACTTTGCTCCCAATATTTTCAGTTCTCCCAGTCTTCTAGGCCTGGAATCAGAAAGACCAAGCTCAATCCAGCCTCAGACACATAATAGCTGTGTGACCTTGGGCAAGTCACTTAACCTCTGTCTGCCTCAGTTTCCTCATCTATAAAGTGAGGAAAATTTGTATGCATAAAATAGTATCTCCCAGGAATGTTGTGAGGATAAAATAAAGTAATATCTGTAAAGCACTCTATAAGTGCTATCTATTATTATTGCAGAAATAAGACGATGTCCTTTTGTCTATCCCACCCCCTCCTTAGTTCTCTCGGCTTGGTTATGGTAAACCATTCACCTCTTTATGGATGCACGGACTCCTTCCACCCCACTCCTCCTTCCCATGGATGCAGCAAAGGGACCACGAGACTCAACAGGTGAGCTCTTTGCTTCCATTCTTTCTCAATACCAAACCTCAAGGTCCATCCCTTCCAAACTACAACTAAATGTCTGATAAGCAGGACGATCCAGAAGTGCTGCTAGGTGGTGCCAGAGTGCACAGAGCGCTTGGTCTGGAGTCAGGAAGACTCATCTTTCTGAGTCCAAATCTGGCCTCAGACACTTAGCAGCTGTGTGACCCTGGGCAAGTCACTTTACCCTGTTTGCCTCAGTTTCCTCATCTGTAAAATGAGCTGGAGAAGGAAATGGCAAACCACCCCAGTATCTTTGCCAAGAAAACCCCCAAGGGGGTCATGGAGAGTCAGACACGACTGAAAATGACTCAACCACAAAAATATCCTTAACAAGCATATGCCGTTTCCTCTGATGCAATAGAAGAGTCTTGAGGGCAAAAACTGATTCATTTCTATCTTTGCATTTGTAGCACCTAGTACAGGACAAGGCACACAGTAGGCACTTACTAAAAGCTGGTTGAGACACGCGCAGTAAGAGTTTGGAGCCGGGAGATGTGTTCGGCTCAGTCGCGTGGGACCAAGGCAACATCACGGCACAGTAGAAATCATGTGGGATTGGGGTCTGAGGCCTCTCTGCGCCTCGTGCTACCTGTGAGACCTTGGGCAAGTCATTTCTCTCTGGGCCTCAGCTTCCTCATCTACAGAAGTTGGGCTTGAAGGAGATGACCTCGGAGTTCCCTTCCGCCTCTCAAACCGTGAGCCTAAAATCACGGTGAACTTAAAACACCAGACGAAGGAGTCCAGCTTTCACCCAGTTAGCAGAGTCAGCACGGGTCCTTCAGGAAAAGCAGTCTGGGGGAAAAACGATCTTTCAAACAGGAATCCAACGTGGGAATCTGTGCGAGGCTGGGCGTGTTTGTCACAAGGGTTTTTACTTTCTTCTTCTTTTTAATGGGAGGGAAGGTGTCCGTGGGAGCGCAGAGGAGAGGATGGTATGGGGCTCACCAAAAGAGGGTCACTGAAGCATTTTTTTCATGTGTGGGAGGGAGCAGAAGTAAATGCAGCTTTGAAAGCGACATGTTGGATTTATGATGTTCTTCAAAGGAAAAACAAGCTGTTTGGAACAGAGGCAGCTTCATGTATAATCCTTTCTCAGCTCAACTTTGCAAATGGAAATGTTCATTTTGTTTGGTGTTTGTTAAGTTCAGGATAAAATATTTTATAATTTTTTAATTTAAATAGATGATCTGGACATAACCAGATACAGAGAAAGACAGACAGATGGATGGAAGGATGGACGGACGGATGGATGGATGGATGAATGGATAGTTAAAACAGACTTCATATGCAGAGGTCAATTGAGGCTGAGGAGCACTCTACACCAATTGTGTTTGGACCCCCCAGCACCTAGCACAGTGCCTCTTCATTTGTTGTTCAGTTGTTTCAGTCTTGTCTGACTCTTCATGACCTCATTGGGGGTTTTCTTGGCATAGATACTGAAGCGATTTGCCATTTCCTCCAGCTCATTTTACGGATGAGGAAACTGAGAAACAGGGTTAAGTGACTTGCCCAGGGTCACACAGCTATTAAATGTAAGACCGGATTTGGAACTCTGCAAAATGAGTCTTCCTGACTCCAGGCTTAGTGCTCTATCCGCTGCACCACCTAGCTGGCCCATCTTGGTCATAGGAGGTGTTTGATAAGTGCATATTGGTTGATTGATTGAACTGTGTTAGTCAGTTGGTAAATTTTGTGTCAGGCGCTGCTCGAAGTTCTGAGAATCCAAAGAAAGGCAAAACCACAGTCCCTGCTCTCAAAGAGCTCCTATTCTAAATGGAGAGAGAATGAGTAACTAGGTACACACAAGGTATGCAAACAAGTCCATTGTTTCACAGTGGACTAAAATTTTGGAGTAGGGAGAGTAAGGCCGGACGAGGTGGGTGGCACTAATTCCAAGCTCATGCCTGACCCCAGGAACATGGCCTCCTCTGACCCCTTTCACGTGCTTTTCCATTTTCCTTCCTTTGCAGTATGAATATGCCTTACCAGTACACCCGCCTCCTCTACCATCCCAGCAGCCCCAAAAGCCAGGCCAGAAGACTTTCCTCCAGCCCACTCCAGCACCAGATGCCACCCAGCACAGGGCACCTCAACCTCCACTGAATCCGGGACAAAACCAAGGGCATCCGGAGGACAGAGCAGCGGGCCAGCAGCCTGGGGGGCCCTTGGGCAGGGCAGGGAGGCCCGAGGTCGTTGCATGGTTTCCTTATTTAATCAAATACCATCTCCCAGCAGCTACAAACATGCCGAGAGAAAGCAAGCCCCCGAGATTCTTTTAAGTAATGACCGCCATAGGACATGGAGTATGCAGATGCTATCTCCTCCATGCAGCCTGACAACTATAAAACTTTAGTCCTGGTAGTAGTAGTAGTAACTCTAAATGCAACCATTTTATTAGTATTAGCAATACCAATAACAAAGCATGTAGTAGTAATATTAATTCTAAGAAAATTGCAGCATTGTATATTAATAATACTGTAGTAGCATAGTAATAATATTGATGCTAATAATAAAAGGTATGGTAGTCGCAGTAATAATAATGATACTGTAGTATCGTTATAGTAATGATACTTTAATTGCATATTACTATTGTAATAGTAATGATACTGTAGTAGTTTATTAATACTACTACTACTAATAACAGATGTGTAGTAGTAATATTATTATTTATAGTAAAGCATATAGTAGTGATGTTAGTACCATAGTATTGTATAATAATAAAACTGTAGCTGCATATTACTATTGTAATAGTAATGATATTGTAGTAGTATATTAATACTACTAATAATAAAATTGTCCTAGTGATATTGATACTGATACTAATAAAATGTGTAGTATTTATACTAAAAATAAAATGTATAATAGTAATGTCAATACTAACAATACTGTAGTGTTGTTGTAGTAATGATGCTTTAGTCATACATTACTATGTAAAAGCAATACTACTGCAGCACTTTAAAAATACTAATAATAAAGGGTGTAGTGGTAATATTAATACTAATAAGTATTGTATAGTAAATGATGTTATAGTAGCACATTACTACTGTAACAGTAATAATACTATAGTTGTTTATTAGTACTAATAATAAAATGTATAGCAATAACATTAATATTAATAATACTGTAGTAGTGCATAGTAATAATACCTTAGCAGTGAATTACTACTGAATAGTTACATTACTATAGTTTATTAATACTACTAACAAAGTATGTAGTGATATTAATATTAATAAGTATTGTATATTAATGATACTGTAGTAGCATATTACTACTGTCATAGTAATGATACTGTAGTCATACATTAATACTAATAATAAAGTGTGTAGTAGTAATAATAACACTCATAATAGTGTCATAGTTGTCAAGCTGCATGAAGGAATAATTACACTAATACCAACTTGTCCTAACAGCATTTATATATGAACTCCATTGAACAAATTGGAATTTGGTATTATTATTATTATTGCTTATCCCAACAGCATTTCTATCTGATCTCCACTGAATAAGATAAGAACTTTTTATTATTATTAATAATAATTCTTATTAATACTATTACTTGTCCCAAGATCATTTCTATCTGAACTTCACCAAAAAAATAAGAATTATTTTTCTTAATACTCATTACTATCCCAGGAATATTTTTATCTGACCTCCATTGAACAAGATGATATCTTTTTTATTACTTATTATCAGCATATTATTATTATTACTATGACATCCTGGAGGTATTTCTATCTGTCCTACGTTGAATAAGACAAGAACCTTTTTGTTACTGTTCCTTATTCTTATTCTTATTACTATTTCTCGTCCTGAGATCATTTATATCTGAACTCCACCAGAAAAGGATTAGAACTATTTTTGTTAACAATAACAATAACTATTATTATTATTAATACTGTGGCTTGTGACCACCATTGAACGCAATGAGCTCTTTTATTACTATGTATTAATACTATTACTGTGACTTGTCCTGGGGGCATTTCTACCTGACCACCACTGAACAAGATTGGAAGAATTTGGATTAATAGTGACAATAATAACGATAACCAGCAATTCTCTAAATTGTAGACCAGTTGTTGATCTGTGTTGGAAGAGTAAGTTTCCTCACCCCAAGGATATCCTAGGTCTGGACAAAATGAAAACAAAACCTTTCCTTTTATACGAGGGCAGCATGGTGGAGTGGGGAGAGTGCTGGGTTTGAATTCTGCTTCTGCCACTTGTCTGTGTGACATCAGTAATGACTCAGTCTCGTGATCTGTACAATGAGCAAGTTGGGAGGAGCAGCATGCCATAGTGTAAAGAGTCTTGGAGCCAGGAAGACCTGAATTTCAGTTCTCCCTTTGACCCCTGCTAGCTGTGTGACCCTGGGTAAACCACTACACTCCTCAGCACTCTAGGCAGTCGCCTAGACAATTAAGTAAGCTACATAACAACTGTAGAAGCTGCACTGGTAGAGGGAGTTTCCGCACTGGGAGTTTGTCGCACCAGTAGAAATCACAGCCTTTATTTAAAAAACACAACATGAGACAGTCGGACCAGACAGCCTTTAAGGCCCGTCCAGCTCAAGATCTCCAACACTGTGTAGAGAGCGTGACAGGTGTGCAAAGCACTTCATAGACACTATCTCACCGGATCTTTGCAATGCTATGAGGCGAGTGCCGAAGATATCATCAGCCCTATTTTAGGGAGGAGGAAACGGAGACTCCAGGAGGTCGCTAAGTCGTTTGCCCGAGGCCACACAGCTAGTGAATGTCAGGCACAGGATCTCAACCTGGGTCTGCTCTGACGCTAGGTCCAAAGCTCTCTTGCCTACATCATGTATCAACGTGGAGTCTGGTGGTGTCATATTCTAGTTCCTTTCAGCCCCAGGTGGTAAGATGGAAGAGAGCCAGAAGGGCCTGAGAAAACCTCCTGCTCAATGCAACGATGAAAGCTCAACCACAGTAGAGTAACCCAGTAAAACCCCTCCTGGCTCTCTCTGCTCAGTTTTGTCACCAAAGTAAAGGGACTGAGCAGGATTGCCCCAGACTACAGGTCTCTCCATTTGACTGTAGAGAAGAAAAGGACCACCTGAGAGCATCTTCTAGAAAGTATAGGGAAAGAGCCCTGGCTTGGGAGTCAGGAGACAAGAATCCTCCTATTGCTTGCTCTGTTGACTAACTCCCTAAGTGACCTTGTATCCCCCTGGGCCTCAGTTTCTTCATTTGTAAAATCAGAGCATGGTGCTCGACCACATCAAGGTCATTTCCAATTCTCACATTCTATGACCAGGATATTAATAAATGCCCAAGCCTTATTATCAGTATCATATTTACATTTATGATGATAATAATGCCTGTGCGGTGCTTTAAAGGTTGCAAAGTACACTCCATACATTCCCTCCTCTGAAAATGCTCCTTAGGGGGCTCCCAGGTGAAGTCATTCCTTCTACCAAGGTCAGCGCCTTCTTTGCAATGGCTGAGGAACTGCAAAGGGAAGTGACTTGTCCAGGGTCACCCAGACAGACTGAACTCAGCTCTTCCTGGTTCCAAAGTCAGATCTTTATCCACTTCATCATGCTGTCTCTAGGCATTATTAAGTTGAATTTCCAAGGATCTGGTCAATGGGCCTTTGTGGCCAAATTACAATCTTGAAAATAAGATGGTAACTTTTTTTCACTTTATTTTTCTTGCTTTTTGCAATATAGCTAATATAGAAATATGTTTTGCATGACTTACATGTACAATGGGTATCATATTGCTTGCCTTCTCAATGGGTCGGGGAGGGGCTGGAGGGAGGGAGAGAATTTGGAACTGAAAACAAACATTTTAAAGAAGAATTTTTAAAAAGAAAATAAGATGGTAACTCTAAGACCTGGACCTCCATTTTCTCAACCCCAACATGAGGTGATGTGATGAGATGGCTTCTAGGATCCCTTCCAATTCTAATTCTAGAAGTAAGAGACAAAACCAGAGAAAATGGGGGACACTTTCCAATTTTTCTAAAGAGGCCTACTTTGAAGCAGACGTGACTAGTCGAATGCTTAATTCCCTTTGCTTAGAATTTTAGCTGTTCTCTAATCTAAACATTTATTTATGATGCAGCTACCAGAACTGGATTTTGCCAGTCAACTGGGTCATTCGGTAAGTACACATTTCAATGGCACAATTTATTAAAGTGCATTCTTATTGAAAGAGGGAAAGTAAAGAGTTTTAAATGCTCACTGTACTCCCCCCACCCTCCACAGTCTGCAATAATGCAAAATTATTTTCTTTGCTTTGCTTTGAAGTTGGGTGGCTATTTTTCATGCTTTCACCCTAGACAATTTATTTTATATAACTTTAAAGTGTTATCGAGAGCTGTGTTACATTAAACATTTATTCTCCTTTGTGTAAAGATGTTTCCAATGGGACGTTTGATCTCTGAAGGACCGACACAAAAACCAGAGAAAGCCCCAGTAAGCTTCTTTGTTTGTTTGTTTGTCCTTTGTCCTCTGCCCACAGCAGCCGCTTAACATTCTCTTCTTGGAAAAGCCTTTTCTAATGTTTGTTTCATTTATGTCTAGGTTTACCCGAGAATGTTTTACGTGCCCTATGGAGCAAACCAATTGGTAAGTGCGAATTACATAGAGACATCATCCTGAGTCGGTGACGATCAATATTTGTTGAATGTCTTAATAAGCAAAGTGAAGTAGAAACGTTTGTTGTTTCCACAGAGCGAAGGATCGGAAGTCAGGAAGACCTAAGTTCGAATCCTAACTCAAAAACTTACTAGTGATTCTACACAGCTCACTCTGGAGCTTCACCTTCTGTGTATTAAAAACGTGCATGACAATATTTCTAGTAATTTCCTCATAGCGTTATCGAGAGACTAGAATAAGATAATGTCTAGAAAGCCTTTGGAAATCTTAAGGTACTAAATAAATTTTGATTGAATAATTGTATAATTTCAATTTAATAGATCATATATAATCCCTATATTTTTGTTTCTCTATAACACATCATTACATTTCAATCTATAAATAGTATATATCCTAATGTATAGAAATATATTATTACATGACATTTGTGTAACATATAATCATATTATTCTATATTTTATTATACAACTTCTCTATATTATATTAATTTGTCTCATTCAACAAATATTTATTAATTAAGCTTCTACTCTGTGCTGAGAGTACTATGATAGATATGGGAAGAGCTACAAAGTTTATATGAAATAAGGTCCCTGCCCTCATTACTCAATAAGCATGTATTAGATGCCTTGCTTGGCACATAGTAGGTGCATAATAAATGTTTGTTGAATGACCAACCACTGAAATTACTATTATGTGTACAAGGTTGGAGACCCAAATACAAAAGTAAATGGCCCTTGCCCTCAGGGAGCTTACAAGCTAGTCAAGGAATAATACATACACTCATACAACAAAATTAGACAATAATTACATTAGGAAGTACTCAAAAAGTGAGGTCTGAAGAGACATTGAGGCGAGAGTTAACTCTGGGTTCTAATTTCTTCTCCATTCAGGAGATGATTCCTCAACTCCCACTTGGCCTTGCACTGTACAAAACGAATCGGTTAATTAACCTACTCTCTTTCCAGAGAGAAAGTGGAAACCTGCATTGATAGAGAGAATTCCCTCACCTGAGAGTTTCCCAAACCAGTGAATCACAGGTGAATTGCCAATGAATGACACAGACAGTGTTCCTTATCATTAAACTACTATATATGAGGCACTGAGGATACAGAGGTAAAAATGAAAGAGGCTCATCTCTGCCCTTGAAGAGCTTACCTTCTGTTCTAATCTACCTATACAAGCTCCATGTTAAAATCCAAGCAAAACGAAATCATTTGCAGCCTTTACTTTTCAATACCTAAGAAGATATCCCTCGAACAATTGACTGGGGCTGGCTCTCATTTCATCATTTCATGATTTCCTTTGAACAGAATGCCCCAAGAAGATTTGGCATGCTAAGTTCTGAAGAAATGATGGTGAGTGATGCCTTGCTTTTAAGCCAACATTCAGATGAGCCTAGTTGGCAATTCAGGACCTCAGACCATGGTCATGGCTTTCCATTAAGCCTTAAACATGCAGCTATGGGAGTTTAGCTATGTTTTTCCACTCCAGACATGAGAGCTCACCTAGATGTCCAGGAGAATTGGCAACAGTTTTGATATTGCTGTTTGGTTAGATATCCTGATGTTAAATCTCAGGCAGGTGCTCAGATTTGTGGAGCAGTGGATGTCTAGGATTCAATCAGAATCCTAGACATCTCAGGTTTCCGATATTTTCTTGATGAGAAATATTTTCCTCATAACCGGAGGAAAGAGCAGAGAGGGGAAGATTCAAAGTCTTATAAAAAATGTTCGTCTTCTGGTCAAGTCTCAAGCATTGGTCTACATGACATGATGCCTGTAGTTAAAATGTTCCAGTCAGGTAGACTGGTCTGAGAAGCCAAGTCAACAGACATTTATGAAGCACCAACTATCTACAGGCACTGTGCTAGGCCATGGGAATACAAAGGCAAAATACAGCCCTTGACAGCAAGGTGCTCACAATTTGATTGAGAACACGATGCTAGCTAGATAATGGGCTCCTAACCTTTGTATGTGTCCTGGGCATCTTTGGCAGGATCCAATAAGATAAAATTTATGGAATGCTTTGCAAACTTTAAAACCTATATAAATGCTAGCCATTATTTTCACACAATAGAAGAAGAAAACAATGAATCAGAAGAATTAAAATCGCTTAATTTTTCCTTAGGTTGTTAGTCCAATTTGGTTTCATCTGTTTGAATCCATTGAATTTCAAGACAATCACTAACGTTAAAAGATATTTTACTGGTGAGGGAGCCACACTGAGAGAATCAGTATCTTTGAGTATAAGCTCAAACTAACTTTTCTACAGAGTTTCTTTTATACTAACAAAAACAGAAAAACCAAAGGAAATGCTTAGTCTCTTCTGATGGGATACATTTCTAAAACAAAGCATTTTACTGACAAGATTCAGAATAAAAACCTCCTTCTTAAGAAACATCAGAAATATCTGGTAGTTAAAACATTCTCATCATTAAGAAACCCCTGCTTACATGAGACCTAAGAGATAGGTAGGGTTCAGACAATGGCATCAGGGTATATATGATATATCTTTAAGTGATTAACTATAACTGAGAAATATCATTTTGAATGGGATTTGGGGTAGAGGAAGTTTTTTCCACAGGTAAACATTGTCATGCTTTCAATTTTCCCTGCAAACTGAGGCAGTTTTGTGAATTCTTAAAAACCAAAATGGAGTCACTTGGGTACAAAGTTAGTTAAACCCTATTTCACTATTAACTTCAAGGCATAAAGAAAAACTAGAACCAAAATTAAAAAGCAATCCTTCATTTACAGATTATAATTGATTGTATCAAAGGAACTAACAAATATACACAAAGATGTGTTGATTGTATACATAAACCTGAGCTCTGACTGCTCTGTTCCCACCTAATAATATCCTCCCTCCCAAACAGATGTTGTATTTTAGTGAGGACACAGTCTATGATCTCTGACCCACATCCGCTGGGAGGCCCTAGGTAGTCAAGTCACTTAACCTCAGTGACCCTAAACAATGCTCTGTGTTTCAGAGAAATTATCAGCCTACTTTGGTAGGAGGAATTCCTCACTGGGATATGAGGAATCCTTATACTGATGAAATCACAGTTCAATTTTTTTTTAGAGTGATCTCTGCCAGGCTTTTTGTAAATATTGTCCATACCATCTGGTTTGGTGGGAAATGCTCTTTATAGAGCTAGTCATTAGAGAGTCTAAAGCAACCTCAAGATTTTGAAACAAAATATTTACTGTGCTTTTCCAAATGGATTTCATGGCCTTCAGACTGAATACTAGCATGGAGTGGTAGTATGTGTTACAGGTATCTCTGTCCTCTGATTCTTTTCAGGGAGGAAGAGGTGGCCCCATGGGTTATGGTTCCATGCTTCCAGGAATGAAGTCTGGCTTCGGGGGGATGCCCCCAAACCCAGCCATGGGAGGAGACTTCACTCTTGAGCATGACCTACCGACCGGTGCCAGCAAACCCCCTGGCCCAGCAGAGGGTGGTGCTCAAGGCTCCCCTGTGCCTGAAACCAATCCAGAAAATATTGAGAATCCAGCTTTCCTTCCAGAAGAAATTCCTTGGGCTCAGGGAGGGATCCTGTCTTTCCCTAAGGGAAGCATTTCTAACTTAGGGAGAGTCCCAACTGGGCAGATTAAGAGACCCCTCAAAGGCACTCCACCACCCTCTGAATCAGGGATGACTCTGGGACCATCTGATATTACTGAGACCTTTGGCACTGATATAACTACCCCCCTGGCCATCCTAGACGAAGGTCCTTTGGACATTACTGTGGAACCAGATACCCACCACACATCAGTGCAAGGGAACGAGGCCTACCAGCCACAGATTATGGAAGATGTATGGCATTTCCAAGAACCCTGAAAGGCTTCAGAAGTCAATTACCTTCTGTATTTATGGGCATGTTTCCCAGCTATGTCTGATGCAAGATCTTTTGGCTAAAACATTTATTATTCTACTGCTATGGCAACTAGCAAAAATGGAATTAAATATCCAAATAACATATGCAAATATCTAATGATAGCTGTGGGCTGAGGGGATTTAATGATCTTTGTGGTTCACACCAGAATGAATAAAAGGGCTCTGTCTTTAATACTTACTTTTGGTTTTCAGCTATATTTGAAAATAAGACAATTCCTAATGCATTATAGAACTCTTACTAGTAGAATGGCATTAGCTATCATATCCAATTATGATGCTGCTTTTAAATTTTTTCCAGGAAGCAACCTGGCATATTCTCAGAAATACAGGCTATCTTATCCAAACCCCTTTAAGTGGGGATTCATGGGAATTCTTTTACTGGTGTGGTGGCTTAGGTGCATTGTATGGATCATAACATAACACTTTGTAGAATATCTCATTTCATTGGATTACAGGTACCTTCCTCATTTAAAATAAAGGTTTTTCTCACTGATTACAGAAATTTGTTCTCATTTATCCAACTCAACAAGCACTTACTCAGCAGCTACTTTGGTCTAGCTGTTTGGGATACAAAGACAAAACCTAAAGGAATGCTTGCCTTCAAGGAGATTACAAAAAAAAAAAAAGAAAAATCCTTTTTAACTTAACAGAAAGCATTGCATGTAAAATAAAAAGACAAGAAACAATTGGGGAAAAATCTTTGTGGAAAATGGCAGCTAGTAGCCCTTAGGCCTCTCTCTGTTTCGTTATTAAAATTGAGAAATAATATCATGCATCCTCGGTCTTGAACCTCCCTTTACAAATTTGAATTTCAGACTATATCAAGATAGGGTGTGTCTAGTCAACAAGCATTAATTCTGTAATTAATTCCCAAAAGAAATAAGAACCAGGGATTAGATAAAGCAAATGTCTTTACATTAAACTATTAAAGCACATGTCCCTTAGTTTATTTATGACATTTATTATATTATTATAAATATATAAACATTATATTGTGGTGTGACATATAAAAAGTTTGAGAAATATAGTTTCTGGGTAATTAATCATTTTATTAATCATGCTAGCAGATAACTAATAAAAGGGGTTGGTGTCACTCTTGAATGCCAAAGACCCCTCATGGAACCCACTCAATGCTTATATGCCTTTGGAAGAGTGGGTGTTCCTGAAGGTGGCAATCAACTCTGATTGGTTAATTAATGAGAATAATGAATATTACAATGAGAGGTGGGCTTATTCTAATGAGGGGCTAGGGGATGTAACACTCCAAGATTGAGGGATGGACAAAGAGACATATCTTATTTAGACTACCCCTGCCTACGGCAATCTAAACAAAAGGGAGTGGATCTCTGCATGGACCTGACTGAGTGGAATGCAGTGGCCTGGAATTCACCTCAGATTAAATTCTTTGAAAGACTTTCTAGTTGGGTGGGGTACCTCCGGGATTTGGGCAATCTCATTCATCAACATTGTCCTTTAGTTGCTGACTTGTAAAGAATAAGTAAAGAATAAGGACCTAGGAAGGGAAAAAACCTGGATCTCCCCAATAATTGGTTATTTAACAATCATTTCTCTCAGTTTTAATGTTCATTATTTCCCTTAGTTGATTTGTTATGTTATACCATCCTTTCCTAGGCTACTTTCCCAATTTCCACTTACATTAGCCAGCCAGGTCCCCCCAAGTAATTAATACTTCTCCTCTCAGGGTTCTAGGGGTAATGGTGAAGGGTATGAACATTCCCAGTACTGCATTCATGAGCCCCGAGTGGGCTTGCTCCTGATTATTTAGGAACTTTCTAACCAGAGTTAATTAGCTTTTAGAAAAAGAATCTCAACAACCCTGGGAGGTAGGTGCTATTATTATCTCCATTTTATAGGTGAGGAAACTGAGATAGACAGATTAAGTGACTAGCCCAGGGTCATGACAAGAACATCATAGCCAAAATCCAGAGCTTCCAAGTCAAAGGAAAAAAAATACCGTAAGCATCCAGAAAGAAAGAATTCAAGTATCGACAAACAACAATCACCATCACATATGATATAGTAACCACCGTTATAAAGAAGCAGAGAACTTGGAAAACAGTATTGAAAAAAAACAAAAGGTATCATTTTACAACCAAGAGGAACTGATACCATGAAACTGAACAAAACCCTACAGAGATAAAAATATGCCTTCAATGAAATAGAGAAGACCTTCAAGAATTTCCAATAAAACACCAGAACTGATAGAACCTTTGAAATACGAACAAGGAGAAGGTGCAACCAAGATGTGGAGAAAAGTCAGGGACTCCTCTGAGCTCTCCCAAATTATTCAAAACAACTTTTAAATAATGCCCGGAAATAGAGCAGCAGAACCCACAAAAAGATGGGGTGAAATAATTTTTCAACCTAAGATAATTTAGAAGGTTGGTAGGAAAGGTCTGTCACACCCAGGTGAGAGTGGAGTTCACACCAGCACATCCCATGCCCCCATAAACCAGCAGCAGGCCTTAGAAAGTGACTGAATTAGCAGAGGAGGCTTCTGGAGCTCTTAGCCCACAGAGAGTAAGGGGCTCTGGCAATGGGTCAGAAAGAGATTATGGGAGTCCCTTTGCTGGTACTAGGTGCAGGACCTGTTGCATTGACCATACATGGATCTGGGTCATAGTCCCAGGGTGAAGAGGAGCACTAGCACACCAGAGCTACCAGCCATAGGGGAGCAGCAATCCTGGTCACAGTCCCAGGACAAAAAAAGAATGCTTGTGGTCACTCATAGACCATTGCACAGGTCAGGAGAATAGAAAACACACTTCTCCTTAGACCATACCACCTTGGAAGAACTTAAAGCTTACAGATTCCCTGAACTAGTTCTAAAAACAGCTGCACATGAACACACACACAAAAAAACAAAACAAAACCCTAAAGCTTAGGACAGTGCCCCCTCCACTTGAGAAGCAGAGCCCAATTTTAATATAAAGTTGAAAGCCAAGAAATAGGCTGGAAAAGTGAACAAATGAGAAAATGAGATCCTGACCATAGAGAGTTACCAGGGTGACAGGGAAGATCACAACTCAAACTCAGAAGAAGATAACAAAGTTAAAACTGCTACATCCAAAACCTCAAAGAAAAATGTGAATTGGTCTCAGGCCCAAAAAAAGAATTCCTGAAAGAGCTCAAAAAGGCTTTTCAAATTCAAATAAGATAGGTAGAGGAAAAATTGGGAAAAGAAATTACAGTGATGCAAGAAAATCTTGAAAAAAAAAACAAACTGGTTAAGGTAGCACAGGAAAAAAAAACCTGAAGAAAATAATACTTTAAAAAACAGAATAGCCCAAATAGTAAAAGAGGCACAAAAATCTAATAAAGAGAAGAAAGTCTTAAAAAGCAGAATTGGCCAAATGGAAAAAGAAACACAAAAACTCATTAAAGAAAAGAATTCCTTAAACATTAGAATTGAGCAAGTGGAAGCTAATGAGATATCAAGATAATGAGATATCAAAAAGCAATAAAACAAAATCAAAAGAATGAACCAATAGAAGAAAATGTGAAATATCTCACTGGAAAAAACAACTGACCCAGAAAATAAATCCAGGAGGTATCATTTAAGAAGTATTAGACTACCTGAGAGCCATAAAAAAAAAAAAAAAGAGCTTAGGGCAGCTAGGTGGCACAGTTAATAGAGCTCTGACCTTGGAGTCAGGAGGACCTGAGTTCAAATCCAACCTCAGACACTTAACACTAGCTGTGTGACCCTGGGCAAGTCACTTAACCGCAATCACCTCACCAAAAAAAAAAAAGCAAAACAAAAACAAAAACAAACAAAAAAAGAACTAAGACATCATCTTTCAAGAAATTATCAAGGAAAACTTCCCTGAGATTCTAGAACCAGAAAGTAAAAATAGAAATGGAAAGCATCCATCAATCCCTCCTGAAAGAGATTCCAAAATGGAAACTTCCAGAAATATTATAGCCAAATTTGAGAGCTCCCAGGTCAAGGAGAAAATATTGCAAGCAACCAGAAAGAAATAATTCAAATATCATGGAGCCACAGTCAGGATAACACAAGATTTGGTAGCTTCTACATTAAAGGATCAGAGGGCTTGGAATATGATGTTCCAAAGGGCAAAGGAGCCAGAATTTCAACCACGAATTACCTACCTAGAAAAGCTGAATATAGTCCTTCCTGGGGAAAAAAATCAATATTGAATAAAATAGAAGACTTTCAAGCATTCCTGATTTAAAAAAAAAAAAGACCAGAGCCAAATAGAAAATTTGACATTCAAATACAAGACTCAAGAGAAGCATAAAAAGGTATACAGGAAAGAGAAATCATAAGGGATTTAATGAGGTTAAACCATTTACATTCCTATATGGGAAGATGACACAAGTAACTACTAAGAACTTTCTCATTATTAGGTCTTTTTGAATATGATGGGATGATTATCTAAAATAATAAAATTAAGGGGTGAGAAAGGGGAATGCACTGAAGAAGGGGAAAGAGAGGGTAGAGTGGGTTAAATTATCTCATATAAAAAGGCACAAAAGAACTTTTTCAGTAGAGGGGAAGAGAGGGGCAAGGGAACAGAGCAAATGAACTTTACTCTCATCAGAACTGCCTCAAAAAGGGAGTAACATATACACTCAGTTGGGTATAGTAATCTATGTTATCCTACAGGAAAGTGGGAGGGGAAGGGGATAAGAGAAAGGGGAAGGAGGTTGATAGAAGGGAGGGTAGATTAGGGGAAGTGGTAGTCAGAAGTAAAACACTGTTGAGGATGGACAGGGTGAAAGGAGAGAAAGAAAATATGATAAACAGGGCAGACATATTATAAAGGGAAATACAGTTAGTATTTATAACTTTGAAAAAAATTTATAGCAAGTTTCTCTGATAAAGGCCTCATTTGTCAAATATATAGGGAACTGAGTAAAATTTATAAAAATAAGAGCCATCCCCCAATTGATAAATGTTCAAAGGATATGAACAGGCAGTTTTCAG